CAGGGAAACCATGAGGAGGCATTCTGGCCTCTGAAAGAATAGGAGTCGAGAGGCTGCCCTCCTAGCCACTGGCCAGTACGCTGGTCCTGCTCTCTGTCCCATGCTTGGGTTTATTGGCTGTTTTTTTTCTCAGACACTCCCAGGCTGTGGCTGAACAGTGCTCAGTGAATGAGGCAGTACTGAGCCCTCACTGTACACTTAACAGCTTTCTGGAAGTATGGAGGCTGCAGGGAGATCCCCTCTTAGAGGGGCCTGGGCAGGCAGAAATCATCAGAGAGATCCATACAGAACAGGCAGCAGCCAGCCCTTTCAGGTCTGGGGACCTAGCCAGGGTGGTAGACATCAGACCCAGGTTAGGCCTTCTAGAACTTCCATGGCCACCCCATTTTCTCAGTTAAAAATATAGGCAGGGGGCCGGGCGTGGTGGCTCAAGCCTGTAATCCCAGCACTTTGGGAGGCCGAGATGGGCAGATCACAAGGTCAGGAGATCAAGACCATCCTGGCTAACACGGTGAAACCCCGTCTCTACTAAAAATACAAAAAACTAGCTGGGCGAGGTGGCGGGCGCCTGTAGTCCAAGCTACTCGGGAGGCTGAGGCAGGAGAATGGCGTAAACCCGGGAGGCGGAGCTTGCAGTGAGCTGAGATCCGGCTACTGCACCCCAGCCTGGGCGACAGAGTGAGACTCCATCTCAAAAAAAAAAAAAAAAAAAAAAAAAAAAAATATGGGCAGGGATATTTAGAGTTGAGGAAGTGGGTAAAGACTTTCTCTGTGGAGATCTTGCTTTCTTGATTGGCTTGAGAACATCCTAGCCTTTGCTCCTGGATTTGGGGCCAAATATAGTCCCAAAGAGACTGACACTTTTGTTTTAGGGGCTGTGGTCAGCTGTTCCCCTTGTTCACTGGCCATCTCATGTTGGCGCAACCCTGTCACCCCCGGTATAGGCTGGAACTGAGGGAGGAGAGATTGAATTCTTAGCATAGCCTAGATCCAAGGATTGATCCAGGGGTTCTGGAAGCATCCTCTGGTGGTTTTAATGGTACAATGTCCTGGCTGGTGTTTGGCTGGGCTAGGGGCAGGGAGGAATGGCTACAAATTAGAGGCTCCTGCCCAAGCCTGCCAGCCCTACCCGGGCCCGGGTCCTGGCTCTTCCCCTCCATTCTGGTGAGTGGCTCATTTGCAGGGAAAGGATGAAGGTCACTGATTTGTGCCCACCCAGGAGCAGAAGGGACTGGGGCTCAAGGGGCGGCCTTTCTGTGGGGCCCCTGGTCCCCAACCCGAGGTCCCCCCATGCCAGCCACTGGCCTGGCCTGGGCAGGGCTGCACGCCCGTTCAGCGCTGCTGTTTTCATAAGCTAATGAGGGCAGAGTGTGAGCCACAGGCGATGATGTTGGGATATTAACTCTGACAGGAAGCTTGATCATAATTATCTTAACGAGGATAGGGTTAATTACAGTGGAAACTTAAAAGTTCTCTCTGTTTGAATCCACTGGAGCCCAATGCGTTGTGATGTTTTGTCATTTTGATGTGACTTTGGAAAAGGCACTGGGATGCTCCCAGCAGCCGCTGCAGCTCCTGGGGGAGCCCAGGCAGAGCCCTGGGAATGAGGGAAGGAGGTAAGAGGATGGTACCTGTGCGTGAGATCCTGGCTGCGTTGCTGCTGGTGGAGGGGGAGGCAGGCAGCCTGCAGGGAGTTCCAGGGGTGCTGATCGGTTTCCAGAACAATCCAGGCCTGGATGATCTCCCTCCAGCTGGCTGTGCCTAGGTCCTGGGTGAAACCTTGCTCTCTCCTACCAGCCCCCAGTCCATGCCTCAGACATCGCACTGCTCCAGGAAGCTGGCGAGCGATGCTGGACTGACAGTCGGTGTCTCCACGGGGGATCTGGTTTTGGGGTGCATTTTGCTGTTCATACACAAGATGATAGCAGACAAATTGTCATTTTATTTAACAGCACATATTTGCAGGCATCTGGCATATAGGGGAATGAACTCAAAGATCTACACACATATTGTTTCTCCTATTTCTCCCTAGAAAACAACAGTAAAAACAAACAAACAAAATCAACGTAAAGGTTAAAGCCACCTCCTCCCAGGTGTATGTGTATTGTCATCCATGTGCCAGCTAGGACCCCCAAAACCTGTCCTCCCCAGTACCTCCATTCACTATGTTCTCTGCCCCCTGACTTCTGTGCCCCGGCCCTCAGCTCTGGATCTAGCTGATTAAATCCCCAGGAGCACACCACACTGATAACATGAAAACAGGGATTTATTCATTAGCAGTCACCCATGTAATATGGTTCTCTTTTTACTGAGCAGCTAATAACGTCACATGGCAAAAAAAGTCTCAAAACCAGGCAGGTGACAGGGGATTTGAGACTGATCTTCCCAGCTCTTCTGGGAGGTTTCACTCTGGTGTGGGGTTCTGCCCCATAGCCCACCCTGCAAGGGAAGAAAGGCTGTCTGGATGGAGGTGGGCGCTTCCTTGGTGCTCCTGGGCTCTCCCCATCTTCATGCTGTGTCGTTTTGCTTTATGCCTCCCTGGAGCACTTTTGGAAAGGAACTTTCTTCTGCTTGCCAGTTGCCAACCATTTGCTGATTTTCATCAGAAGAGTCTAATATTTGCATAACATAACTTAGGAGCAATGTATTTGGATGCTGCCTTTGAGCAGAGCCCAACTGATGTTTGTGCACGAAGGTCTTATTAGCCACCCGTAAGGCTCCCTAAGGGGAAGTGGCCTCACCTCCCCTAGTGGCAAACAGGCCCAGTCCTGAGAAGCCTTTTGGCACATCACTCCCTAATCCCTAGTGGAGGGACTTCAGAAGAGCCCGAAAGTCCCCTGCACAAGCCTGACTTCCTGCACGCCTCCTCTGTGGGTTTGTTCATGGGCCTGTCCACTGCATTCCAAACACACCCCCAGGGTCAGGGCATCAGGAAACAAAACAGTGAATAAAAGGAGGAAGGAAAAGAAAAAGAAAAACAAAACAAAACAGCGTATGCTACTAACCAGTTAGCCATCCTTACTTATTCTCTACAAGATCCTATGAGCTGGAAGGAACACAGAACAGTAGAGTTCAGATGGGCTATTGACAGGCCCAAATTCACACAACAGGAGATGGAGGAGCGGAGGCAAAGTCCCAAACCTTCCTGCCTAGATGTGCGTACGTTGTGGGTTTTTACAATTTTTTTTTGTTTGTATTTTTTGTGGGTACATAGCAGGTAGAGATGTTTATGGGTCACATGAGATATTTTGATACAGGCATGCAATGTGTAATCATCACATCAGGATAAATGGGATATCCAGCCCTTCAAGCATTTATCCTCATAAGTTGTGTTTTGCCTCTAGGAACCAAGAGGCAAAAGAGAAAGGAGGAGGAAATGGAACGTGATGACCTCTGGACCCCTACTCCAAAATGTGTCCTCCCTCGGTGGGACTGGCGGCAGTGTTGGTTGGAGGAGCAGGCATGCTCTGGGAGTCAAGTCCTGGGTGGGACCATCCCGAGGTCTGGCAGGAATGGAATATGCAGGCAGAGCTCTGGGCCCAGTGGAATCTACAGATTTAATTACAACACATTTTACACTTCGCAAGTATTGACTCCCTATTTTGGAGTCCTCTTGGCAGAGATCCCACAAGGGAGCTATGGATGCCTTGGGAAAGCTCTGGTGCTGAAGTTCACACTCACAGCAGATGTGCAGACATTGCACACACAAGCACACGGGGCTCTAATGGAAGCACTATCAGTAAATGAATAGTGTGGACGACTCATCTCCCTGATTCATCATTTTATAGAATAGCCAGGCATCCCATAGGAGTCTCCCTCCGGTCCACATCGTAGCTCAGCTGTCAGCCTGTGCAGGCTCAGCACATCTCCCGGGTCTGGCAGGTGAACGAGCTGGGAGTCTGTGTCTCTGTGTAAGCCCCTCCGCCGGCCGGCTTGCTTTAATTAATGTCTGTGTGCGCCCAGGCAAGCACTTGTGCACAACTACCCCGTGACACCTCCACCCCCAACACTCATGAGAGCCCATAAAATTAAGAGTTAACTTTCAGCGACGTGTATAAGCAAGGCTATTTTTCCCTTTCTGTTTTGTTTTTTTTTTTTTTTCCTGGAGTCGGGTACTTAATTCTCTCAGTTGCCTTTTTATTTACTGCCTCAACATCTACAGGGTTGCACTCTACACTTCTTTCAAAAATTAAGTGAGAAATCCACTTTCCATAAATTAAAACAGTAACTTCAGGCCAGGAGCTTTGAAGCAGCAATTCCGCCAACCCCTGTCTCCCCACCCGCAGCAAAAACAAATAAAAAGAAATAATAAAAGAAAAAGGCCTCTCAGACCAGAGTGATTATGTAATTCCGCAGATGCCTTGCCTTTGGGGCAGCCACTGGGACGCTGGGCAGAAGCAAATTAAGTGATTAGTAAAGAAAAAAGGCAGAGGGAAAAAAAAAGTCAAAGGATGTGAACGCAGAGAAAGGAAGCCTTCCCTGCCGTTTCCCCCACGATTGTACAGAGGAGAACCGCTAAGAAATGATACTTGAAGTTATATTTATTATTGTAAGAGGGTATGATATTTCTGGGCAGGAATGATGGATGACAACTTGAATTTGTGTCCAGGGAATGAAGGTGAACTGTGACAGAGTTATTTATCTTGGGAATGGAGGTTAGGGTCAGCCGAGGCTGGGTGCCTGAAGGCACAAGACATTGACAAATTTATCCTGCAGGCCGTATCTGAAGCCCTTTGTTTTGGATCCTGGCTACTCACTAAGTGACCCTCATCCTTCATGTTGGCAATGCGTGAAGGATGCGGTGGGTGCCAGCGGCCCCTTCTCCCCCGCCGCCCCCGCCCCGACTCCTGCTACTAATTCTTGTCATTCACTTTGCTGACAGGCACCAAGCCCAAACTATTCCCAGTCCTGAAAGGGAAGGTTAAAATATTTATTTCGGCTCATAATGGCCTCCCTGATTTAGTGCAGGATCATTTTTCCTGTTGCCTTTGTCATTGCAGGTCACTGGAAGGACTGAGCGCATTCAGGAGCCTGGAGGAACTCATCTTGGACAACAATCAGCTGGGGGACGACCTCGTGTTGCCAGGGTTACCCAGACTGCATACCTTAACCCTCAACAAGAACCGAATATCCTTTCCTCTGCCCGCTGCCCCCACTCCCCACCCAGCCCCACAGTCGTCCCCCCACCCCACCCTGCACAAATACCTGCAAAATGTCAAATGAGTTTTATGTGTCAGCTAAATTAAAGTATGTGAAATACAGTTCTTGGGCAGACAAAGCGTTCTGTCTTCTGGCACTCGGGACACTTCAGAGTAATTTATTATAGGTCATTCATAAATGAAACGCACCATTATATCTTCCTGTTGCTCCATTTTAGTGTAGGGATCTAAGTTATGGCTGTGAAGAAATCTTTTTAATAGATAAAAATAGAGAAAGAAAATAATGTCACCGCCGCAGAGGCGGCGAAGCCCTGTCTGTTTGCTTGGGCTTGTGTGGGAGGGCGACCTCTGGTGGGAAGTCCTGGGTAATGCCACTAAGCAAACTTCGTCTCCTCGGAGGTTTCTGGAAGGCTCTGGGGCAGGCTCGGGGAACGGTTTTGGTGAGGGAAAGGAGCTAAGGTGGCAGGGACATGTGAAGCTCAGGCCTGGCTATGCCCTCACTGGTGGATACCATGCTGGGCTGTTGATGGGAGGCCTAGGGGACCCATGATAGTATATGGCCTTCCCTACGGAGGCAAGGACCTAGCCAGCGTAGGGTGAGACTTCCAGGCACTAGTTGCTCTGGATTCTGTAGTGGGGATGGAATCAGGGAACCCTTGCTGCGACCTAAGACCCCTAGCTCCTGCAATGTTAGTGTAGTGGATTACTCGGCACTAGAATGCCAGCTCAATAGGACAGGGAGTTTCCTTGGTTTTGTTAACTCCTCTGTTCTTCACACAAAGAATAGTGCCTGGCACCAAGTACAAGCTCAATAAATATTTGTGGGATGAATGCATGATTATCATTAGCTGTTCCTTATTGAGCACTCCTAGGAATGAGGCATGGTGCTGGGTTCCTTATGTGTGTTGTTATTCATCTTTACCAAGCCCTGTGAGAAGGGTGTGTCTTTTCCGTTTATCTAGACATGGAAAGAGGTGAGGGTAGGCACACAGCCAGACATTAACAAGATGCTATGTCCCGGATGATTCAGTGTCAACTGTGTTGTGTCCAAAGTCCAATGTCTGCATTCTACTGTGTTGCTTCAGACTCAGTGGTCCAATGGCTTTGTTTTATTGGATGGAACATTTGAGACCCGGAGTAGTTAAATCACTTGTTCACATTCATACAATAAATTAGAAATAGAAAAGGAACCAGGGCATTTTCCTCTAGAGTATAAAATAAAATCAGATATACATGTAAGGTTTAGCACATACGCATATGCCAGCATTTAAGAGTGATTTGCAGAAGTGTTGGTTAGCTACTGTTTATACTTCAAGCCATAAGTTAATGTTTTCTTTATTCTTTAAGATATTGTCTCAGTCAGCTCTTGCTGCTATAGCACAATACCATACATGAGGTGGCTTAAACAACAAACATTTATTTCTCACGGTCTGAAGGCTGGAGGTTTGTGATCAGGATGCCAGCATGGTTGGTTTCTTGGTGAAGATACTTTCTTGCTGTATCATCACATAGCAGAGAGAGAGAAAGCAAGCTTTTTCAAGTTGCTTCTTATAGGGGCACTGATCCCATCAGAGGGATCTACCCTTATGACCTAATCACCTCCCAAAGGCCTCATCTCCACATACCATCACTTTGGGGATTAGAATTTCAACATATGAATTTGAGGGGAGAACAAATATTCAGACCATAGTATTATAAATATGCTCCTTGTGGTCACTATTAATTGTCACTTTGATAGAAGTAGAAGGGGAGGGCCTGCAAGTAAATTCACAGTCTTTGTCATAATGAAATTTTGGTGGATTTTCCCCTCTTATATCCATTAGTCAACCAAGTTTCCCAGTGACTGTTTGAAAAATATTGTAGTCTTATGGCTTTCTAGGCTGTCTTAGATGATCACTTGGCCAATATTCTCAAATCAATCAAGGACAGAAGGATTTTCAGACATATCCTATGTCCCAGGTCTCTGTAGAATATTAGATTCCATGGACTTTGGTTCACGTCTCAGCTTAATCATATTTAGCGGTGTGGCCTTGAGCAAGTTATCTTCTGTGAGCTTCTGTTTCTCATTTTTAAAGAAATACATTGGACTGGATGATGGTTTTATTCTCTGTATTGCTGTCACCAGAGATAAGCAGGCCTCTTGGCTTCAGAGTGCTGAGAGGTGTTCTTTGTCTTTGGTTGAGTCCTTTCCCTATTCTGTGCCTCTGCTTCTCCAATCTGTAGCAGTAATGCTAAGGGAGTAATGGTAATAGCCTAGGAGGGACTGAAGCAGAAGACACTGTGTGGCTATAAACCTGACTGGTGATATCACTCTGCTGTTGTAGCACATTTCTTACCAGTGAATGTTCTAAACAGACTTCTTTCCTTTTTTTTCCTCTGCTCTACAAATGTGATTGTGAAGATCAACTTCCCCATCTACTTGACTCAGAAGTCACAGAGAAAGGTAGGTAAAAATCAGGCAATAACAGCACATGTTCTCTTCTCAACTCAGCACTTCTGATGCCACTTTTTCAGCTAAATGACTCTCCTTCCTAACTGTGAGAATGTTGCAGGCTTTCCAACAATTTCTATGTTCCATATTGTTATTGCTACCCCATGAAATGCTTTAGATATGGCCTCTATACATTAGCTTTTGCTGCATAATAATCCACCCCAACATTTAGTGGCTTAAAACAGCAAATATGTACAATTCTATGGATCAGATGTTTGGCCAGGGCTCAGCAGGATGATTCTTCTGCGGGTCTTACCCTGGGTCACTCATGCAGCCACATCTACCTGGAGGCTCAACTAGGGCTGGATGGTCTAAGATGACCTCACTCATATGTCTGGAGGTTGGTACTGGGTGTTGGCTAAACTACCTGTGTCTAACAGGCTAGCATAAGGCACTTCACATGGGAGGAGTATTCTAACAGCACAAGCCCCATAGTACAAGTAGTCTTCAAGTTCAACTTATATCATATGTGTTAATGTCCCATGATGAAAGCAAGTCACATACCAACTGTAGAACAAATTGGGGAGGGGACTGCATAGAGTGTACATATAAAGAGGCATAACTCATTTCTGCAACAATCTACCCAGGAGACCTTGGCATTGGCATCTTGTCTCCTTAAGATTTTACTTCCAGCCGGGCGCGGTGGCTCATGCCTGTAATCCCAGCACTTTGGGAGGCCGAGATGGGTGGATCATGAGGTCAGGAGATCGAGACCATCCTGGCTAACACGGTGAAACCCCATCTCTACTAAAAAATACAAAAAAAACTAGCTGGGTGAGGTGGCGGGCACCTGTAGTCCCAGCTACTCGGGAGGCTGAGGCAGGAGAATGGTGTGGACCCGGGAGGCGGAGCTTGCAGTGAGCTGAGATCCGGCCACTGCACTCCATCCTGGGTGACAGAGCGAGACTCCGTCTCAAAAAAAAAAAAAAAAAAAGATTTTACTTCCTATTTGTGATAAAGGGAGCCCTAGAAACAAGTAACTATTGACCTCCTCAAAAAGTATTAGCTCTTTTGTGTAAATTGAATCTTTAAACATGTTAGGAAGCTTGCTGCTAAATGAGGTTTTATCTTGAATCCTTTTGTGAAATTTGCTTCATTTTTAATTTTTTGGTTTGTTTTTTGGCATATGTAAAATGGTTATTCACCCCACCTACCACGTAAAATCTAGACTTTTCCACTTTGGTTTAACTCGCAGTTAAATGTGTCTATAATAATGCTGTAGGTTCCTAGACCCTGGCCACTTGGGTCATTGGCTTCTTTGATCCTTTAGCAAGAGGGAATATCACACAGTGGTTAAGAACAACAGGCTCTGAAGGCAGACTTCCTGAGCTTCTACCCTAAACCTGCCACTTTTCTGCATGACCTTGGGCAATTGATTTAACATCTCTATGTTTTGGTTTCCTTTGAAAATGCAGACAATGCTGGTACCCATCCCATAGGTTGTTTTGAAGATTATTCTAAGTATCTCAGACATATTAGATTCTAGTAACATAGTAAGTGCTATGTAAGGGTTACTATTATTGTTGTTATTATTATCCTAGAGAATTGTGTAAACTCATCTGGTTTGACTTGGGTCACATTATAACCAAGGCCAGAGTACAGATATACTTCTGAGTGTAGAATGCTTCTTTGACTTGCACAATTTAATATTGCCCTAATGGCATTCCATGAGTTGGGTACTGTTGGTGAATAATTCTTCTCATTTTTATGGGAAAACTAGGAGTGCATGAGCTTTCTGAAGTCACATAGATTGTCAGTAGTGGGGCTTAGTCTAGAACCCAGGTATGCTGATTCCCAGCTCCAGACTCTGAAACCCAAAGGAGCGGCAATCATTGTACAAGGAGAGGAGCCCAGATACAGGAGGAGTCAGCGTCCTGGGCCTGCTTCTGCAAGGTCCTGCTCCCAGCTGGGGCTGCCAGGAGTCCGCTCTTAAAAGAGATTCCAGAGCCCAGACCCAACATCTGGAAAATTCCTTCTGTGTTCATCAGTCAATGCCTTCCTGCCATCTGCATACCTCCTGCTGGACCTCCCATCTTTTTCCACCAGCCCTTTTTCTCATTGTGTTCAGCCCTCAGTGTTGATGTCCTGCTCTGGTATATCTGAAAGCCTGGTTGTCTGAGATTACCTCTTCATTTCTTGGTTTGTAGGGATCTCATTTTCTTTCTTTGGTTCATTGAGTCTGGCCAGGTAATCACTGGTTATGGACTTGAACACCTTCCCCACTGCTCTCTCTCTCTCTCTCTCTCTCTCTCTCACACATACACACACACACACACACACACACACACACACATGCCCATCCATGAGCATGCACACACCATCCCCGACTGTTCCACCAGGAGGGGTGGGATATTTGGTAGTGGTCTCAGCCATATCATGTCTGAATAATCAACCCTAAGTAAGGTTGACCAACTGAAGATTCAGGAAAATGTAGGTACTTAACCTTTGCACAATCAAATGATTCACCTCTACTTTCC